GAGAGGATAGTAGCTCAGTTATAAAGCACGTTTAAAAACTGCTTACCACGGACAGACCCCCGCGCTTTAAGTAATAAAACTCCAAGAAAATACCGTTTTTCAGTAAAAAGTGTCGCCCGCCACCGCATCTACGGGTTTGGACAGGCCTTGACGCTGCGATGCAAATTTGAGAAAATTTGAAAAGTGACCTTTTCAGAAAAATCGATTTTAAAAAGAAACGCGAGCTTCAAACAGAGAAAGCTATATATCAGAATTTAGGTGATTTTTGCCTCGATTTTTAGAAAGTATCAGCAGATTTTTATCAGCTGTTTTCGATTTTTAAAGTCCAAAAAACCGTTTTTTGGCGATTTTCGAGACAAAATCCTTAATAACTCGGCTAAAACTGGTCCTAAAAATACGGGGAATGGCTCAAAAAATCGAGCATCGAACGGCCCGTCTCATGAATTAAACTAGAAATTCATGGCTATTATAGTTTAGGAGTAAATCACCAAAAACTGAGATCTTTACAAACTCTGGGAATCACAAGCCTATTGTTTTTTCTGAACTGCTTTGTGCAATCCTGAATCCCCCTCGGTCAAAACTGAGAAAAAGTCGAATAACTTTGCCAAAAATGGTCCGATCGTCCCAGCGAAAAGACCAGAAGGAAGAGCACAATCTCCTGCATCCTGTGGTATAACGTATAAATTGATACAATGTATACTTTTGCCAAAAATGCAACATTTAGTTGAAACACTGCCTATTCAATCGGAGACAAAAGGCTCTCTTTGTGTAAAGAAAGGAATGTAGTGACCGGCTTGCGAAAATTGTCAATTTTCCAAGTTAGGAAAAGCAGGAAAAATAAACAAAAAATATACACGAAGAGGTGAATGTCTCAGTTCATCATTTCACAATTCAACGAAAAAATCGGCTGAATAACGAAGCTACAAAAAATACTTCTCTTGAGCAAACTACCAATTCAAAGACTTCTCACATTTAACAAAAGAAATTCAATAGACGATTTGTAAAGCTAGAGGCTCAACTGGGGAGGTTCTCTCCTCGCTCAACATTCAGTACATAGCCGAACTTAAAAGGATATTGCTTTTGCTTAGTGTAAAGTCATCCCTCTCTTTAAAGAAAAGTGTCTCGTCTATGGTAATCAATTAGTTTTACACATAAACTTTCTTCTGAAATAAGATATTAATGCATCCGGCACTTTCTTCTTACAACGGAGAAGTCACTATGTCCTACCGGAATGCATAAATACCCCGTGTTCTCTTGGAACCTGCAGCTGACATTTAAAATGGTTAGCATGTCCGTAGCCAGAGGGGGTACTGATGTTAACGATACCAACTTCCTTTGGAATCGAGCACTGAATACATCACGTAAAGAAATAATAGCAACGACACTTAAAAGCAACTTCTTTATTTGCCGTAGAGACAACACCCTCTGTGGAAATCCTTGCAAACTCAAAAGCCCCTCTGTATCCAGAGTGTTGCAGCCAAGGTTGCTTTGCAAGACCAATTTTCTGCACCATAAGCTCTGATAAATGATTAGGCGTGTCTGCATAGAGAGGGGAAGTTGTGGTAAGGGGAATACTTGGCAGTCAGCCGTTAAAAGCAAACTTCTTGTATCAACATTGTTTATAAATTCTTGTTAGTGTTATTGAAATCGGGGTTTGCCAGCGTTGTAAAGGGTGGATGGAGAGAACTCAAAGGGAAAGCCCTAAAATTTGCTACTTAGCACGAGTGCTTTAACTTTTCTTAACTTTCTATGGTGCGTGCTAGCAGTGCTAGTTATTCAATTTTCATCTACTTCTCGGCGATTGTAGTTCAACCCCATGAGAACGAGAGAACAATTACTACAAAAGACTGGCAATGTGTCTGATTTAAGGTCTTAGCGTCCTATGAAAACGATGGGTGGAAATTTACTGATTCATTGTCTCAACAAGGAAGGAGAAACAATAGGGATCGATATATTTATTTAGGGGTGAAGGACATTGCAAGGCATCTCCATTAGCTGATTCAGCATTGGTTGTCACAGTCTAATGGCATAAAATACTAATGTACTCTTAAACTTCACAGCAACTTTAAAGTGAAATTAAACACATATTTTAATTTAAAACGCAATTGCTTCCTAACAGCTGACTTTACTGATAAGGTTAGCTAAAGGTGTGTAGGTACCGAGTTGCAAAGGGGAATATAGGAGCGTATATGGTGTTGGATTTATAATAACTGTTACAATGACTATAATGTATTCAATTATTATCGTTTCAATCAAAAAAGGTTTCAATCTAATAATGTATAACTCTACATCTTTGTAAGCTAAACTATATTATAGGGCATTAATTCATTCTAGGCAAAGAGCAGGTATCAACAGGTGGGACTTTATTGAAGGGATTTTGGCCCAGTGTGTCCAACCTTTAATATATGAGGTCCTGATAACTGCAATATATCGATATTATCCTTAAAAAGAGGGGGAGGGGGGGGGGTAAAAGCTAAAAAAACTTAAATGGGGATGTCGGTATGTACATGTAAATCTAAAGAATGGATCGGAGAAATGGAAGTTCAATACGTCTATCATCTAAGGACTAAATTATGTGCAATGGAAACGGCAATTATATGATACTCAATAAAAATTTTACCCTCTTTTTATGCGGAACAATTAGAACTTCAGTTCATTAAAATCGCCTTCAAATGTTGGTATATCGCTGTACATGATCTGCATGAAGTTTATCGTTCTATAGCTGACTTCCAAATGGCAGACAATTATTTTTCTGGCCGAAGCTGTCGTAGATCTTGCTGAATCATGGACCTCTATCTGAAAAAGAAGGTGATATCTTATCTTCTTGGGTGATATCTTATCGCCGTGGAAGAGGCCATGAAAATGGCATGTTATTAGCCGGCATGCAACAAGGAATGAAGCTTCTGGGGATAAAAAACCGCTTATTTCCAGACGAGAAAGAAGGCACCTTCCTATGGTCGTGTTTTTAAAGAAGTTTCCTGACCTCGTTTCGACCTTTGATATGCCTGAATTTGGTATTTAATCCAAAACGATATTTTGATCGACACCTTTCCCTATCCAAAATCTTTCTGAAGGCTAATACTCTTAAGTTACAAAGGCAAAACTGTTAAGCAATTACTGAGCTTTTCCAACAATCCTGAAGCACCGTTAATCTGATTTCTCTTATATGTTGCCATGCACTTTGATAACCTATACTGTAAGAAAGCGATCTAACAAAAAGCTGAACTAAAATGAATATCTGAAACTAACGAATGACATAAAACTATTATACTGGAATTTAATTTTGTGGTATGTACATGCCGAAATATTAAACGCAAGTTAAAGCAAGACGAATCCTTTTATTGCTCTTATTTTCTGAAAAATACATTCCAAAACTTCTAACTCCTGATAAAGGCTTGGCAATGCTCCAAAAATGGAATATCCTAAACACTGCAAAAATAAATGTGAATGGGATCTGGAGGTGTGCTTCATGTTAACATAGATATTTTCGGCATAACAAAGACCAAGTTCCATAAAGTTAGAAGACAATAACTAAACAGGGTATAAAATCAACAGAAGAGACGGGATAAAAAACGCAGCGAAGGATGGTGCATATAGTACTACAAAGAAGACCAAAAGGATCAAGTAAAGACCAGGAAAATGATGTAGCTATCTGAGCTGGTGCTGTGATGTACACTCAACAATTATCGATAGCAGTTGTCTACATACCCAAAGACGTAGAAATGATGTCAAAAGTGGGGGGCAAATGTAGTAAAAAAGGACACTCCGAGAGCTGCAAAAAGGTCAATGACCTCTGTTTCTGAAAATTGGGGGGACATTTCCCCTGTGCCCCCTGCTTCCTACGTCTATGTATGCCATTAAACAGAGATTTTTCCATTGACTGGTAAGTATCTGCATGAACTGAAAAGATGTTTAAGATATTTCGATCATGGGAGGCTTAACAAGACAAACAGTGTGCAAGAAAGAAAGCTAAAAGCATTAAGGAAGGGTAACCGATTCAAGATCACAAAAGAACCAACTAGGATCACAGAAACAAGAAAGGCCTTAACTGACGTAATGATTGTTAGCAATGAAGAAAATAATATTTTATCAGGAACCGACTATAGGATGATATACTGCATCCTTAGATACCAAAGCTAAAGCACAGTTTCTTGCAGAAAATTGGTTAAAAAACTACAAACATTCTGATGAGGTGGAGTTTTAAAGAGGTGATAAAAATTGTTCCTTAGCATGCTTTGAACAAATTGGATTGGATGACAAAAAACGGAGATTTTCATTTTATTCATTGGTCGTTCAATACTTCGCATCAAATCAAAATTCACACCATGTTTCTTCCAGTTTAGACGGATCCGAAGAGAAAGATTTAATGTGCGTTAAGCACGGGCCATGTGAGAGCCTTTCGCCAAAATTACAGGCCGTTGGTACTCAGAGGGATGAAGTTTGTACTTTTCGAATGCTCGATTTCAGAAGGCGACATGGCCCAAGAAGATATTTTAGAATAAATAATTGATGACGATGACGATGACAATATTATTGATATAGAAGGCTGATTTGATGTTTTTTATTTTGTAAATAACAAACAATTAGTTTACCACTATAAATGGGTTTTAATAACAAACTATTTATTAAGCCCCTCTCTCAATCTAGCCCCCTTCTCTTATAAGCCCCCCTTTAAAGTGCTGAAAACGATAAGCCCCCCGGGGGGCTTAAAAGAGAATTAACGGTAAACAAAGATCCAGTCCCCCTATTGGATGGTTAGTGAAATAAAAAATTCGATGAACCAGGGAGATGAGTAACGTATACTTAGGCAAACAGAAACTAAGATGAAAAACATATTAATTAATACAAAAAGGTGAAGAATAGAGTCAATAAGGAGTTGAAGCTGGTTGAGTCAAAGTACTAGAAACAAAAGCTAACAGAAGTAGACAAGGACAGCTTCGGCTTTTCGAGGACAGTCAAAGCCAAAATATGTTGCGAAAAGTTGAATGAAAAATGAATGGGGCAGATAGACACAACTGGTGAACAGCTATCAAGTGACCAGCAGACATCAGAAGGTAGGAATGCATTTTATCAATATCGAATAGCAGTTTATTATCAAATTTGAGGAAACAAGCAAAGAAAAAGCACAAAATATCTGCCAAGCAACACAAACAATATCTTAAGAGATTCTCTCAAAAGAGAGATTTTTAGAAAAAGATTACTACGGTTTTAAAGGTTTTATACCTACGATACTTGATCCGAAGGAAGAATCTAGTCAGGAAAACATTGCTACAAGATAACTAAAGTTGCCCTCTAAGGACACGAGTCCAGACTTGTTCAGTAATGGCAGACAAGTTTCCCTAGGAGGGACAATTTCCAGCTAAATTGAAAATCAACGAACAGAAGCAACCCTGGAAAGATAGGGAGAAAACGGGGAGAGAATTGTCGACCCTTTTTCACGCTACCCATCGCATACTATCCATATCACATTTAGGTGAAATGGAACGGGAAAAGACTTTGTAAATAAAAGTCCAAATATTTGAGACAAGCCTGCAAGTTATTTCAAAATGATTGAAAATAACTTAGTGAAAAAGATTACTGAAGACGGATGAAATCCAAAGAAATGAAATCAAAGTTTCACGAAAATAACTTTTGATCATAGAGGTGGCTCTGAAAATTTCCCACACGAGCTATTGATTGCAAATAGAAAAATGAGGTTAAAGAAAAAATTTATATGTTTGCAAAGATTTGTCTAAAAGGGCACAAGTCACAGTCGATCTAACTAGACAAATATAAAGGACTGTTGTAAAATACTAAGGGTCACAATGAAATAACAAATCTTTGTAAAATGCTAATTTAAGAAAAATGTTCCTAAAAGCATTCCGTGACTCCTTAAGGAGAATGACTCTGAACATGAAAATGAAGTTTATTACCCAAATATTTACAAGGATTTAAAAAAGAATAAAATTTCATGTGATTAAATTATAGCACAGAATTATTATTGATCAAAGTCATTTTAAAAGAAAAAAGTAAATATTCGACGATATTATAAAACTACATCGATATAGTTTCTTGCTAGAAAGTTCTAGAAACTTATTACAACAAGAGAAAGACAAAATAAAAGTAAGAATGAAATGAGGAAACATTGAAAAAGGAAAAGTTCAAAGAAGTCTAATCATAGTGAACTAAACTAAGAATAAAGGAAGAAAAACTTTTGAAAATTATAGTTAGAGAAGGCGTTAATGTAAGATTAAGTCAAAGCAAGATTAAAGGGAAAGGAAATTGTAAAAAAACACTGAAAAAACTTTAACAAGGAATATTTCAAGGTAGTCTTGAAAGAGTGAATAAAAGTAAGATCGAAAGGAAGAAAGGTTTGATGAAGGCACTTTCAAGGAAATATTAAAAACAAATCTTTAAAGGAAGTCTTGAAAGAATGAATAAAAGTAAGATCGAAAGGAAGAAAGGTTTGATAAAGACACTTTCAAGGAAACATTAAAAACAAATCTTTAAAGGAAGTCTTAAAAGAAAGAATAAAAGAAAGATCGAAAGGAAGGAGAGTTTTGAAAAAGACACCTTCAAGGAAACATTAAAAATAAATCTTTGAAGTAAGTCTTGAAAGAATGAATAAAAGTAAGATCGAAAAGAAGAAGGGTTTTAAAAAGACACTTTCAAGGAAACATTAAAAATGAATCTTTGAAGTAAGTCTTGAAGGAATGAATAAAAGTAAGATCGAAAGGAAGAAAGGTTTGATAAAGACACTTTCAAGGAAACATTACAAACAAATCTTTAAAGGAAGTCTTGAAAGAATGAATAAAAGTAAGATCGAAAAGAAGAAGGGTTTTAAAAAGACACTTTCAAGGAAACATTAAAAACAAATCTTTAAAGGAAGTCTTGAAGGAATGAATAAAAGTAAGATCGAAAGGAAGAAAGGTTTGATAAAGACACTTTCAAGGAAACATTAAAAACAAATCTTTAAAGGAAGTCTTGAAAGAATGAATAAAAGTAAGATCGAAAGGAAGAAAGGTTTGATAAAGACACTTTCAAGGAAACATTAAAAACAAATATTTAAAGGAAGTCTTGAAAGAATGAATAAAAGTAAGATCGAAAGGAAGAAAGGTTTGATAAAGACACTTTCAAGGAAACATTAAAAACAAATCTTTAAAGGAAGTCTTGAAAGAATGAATAAAAGTAAGATCGAAAAGAAGAAAGGTTTGATAAAGACATTTCAATGAAACATAAAAAACAAATCTTTAAAGGAAGTCTTGAAAGAATGAATAAAAGTAAGATCGAAAGAAAGGAGGGTTTAAAATTGACACTTTCAAGGAAACATTAAAAAAAACGTTGAAGAAAGTCTTGAAAGAATGAATAAAAGTAAGATCGAAAGAAAGGAGGGTTTGAAAAAGACACTTTCAAGGAAACATTAAAAACAAATCTTTGAAGTAAGTCTTGAAAGGATAAATAAAAGTAAGATCGAAAGGAAGGAGGGTTTGAAATTGACACTTTCAAGAAAACATTAAAAATAAATCTTTGAAGTAAGTCTTGAAAGAATAAATAAAAGTAAGATCGAAAGAAAGGAGGGTTTAAAATTGACACTTTCAGGGAAACATTAAAAATAAATCTTTGAAGTAAGTCTTGAAGGAATGAATAAAAGTAAGATCGAAAGAAAGGAGGGTTTAAAATTGACACTTTCAAGGAAACATTAAAAATAAATCTTTGAAGTAAGTCTTGAAGGAATGAATAAAAGTAAGATCGAAAGGAAGGAGGGTTTGAAAAAGACACTTTCAAGGAAACATTAAAAACAAATCTTTGCAGTAAGT